GTCGCCACCGTTGATTATAGCAGGAGAATAATGTCTTCCTCCATCTGAGGATCGTCGTCCATGGATACAACGCTGGTGAGTTTGTCACGATCAGCAATAATCCAGTGTTTACGCAGGCACAGCTCGCTCCTTATTCTACCTGTACATGAACAAGGCTTGAAAAAGCATATCATGATGAATAGGTGAGACTTTATGGGGTACCGAAATATGCAACTTCATGCACCGGCAGCTCCAAAACGTGCCAAGCCAGAAATAATACAAGGTGCACCGAGCCTAATAGGTAGTCTTGCGGGGTGGGGTTAGCGCAACAAGTATGGAGGATCCGCCCTACGGAAGACACCTAGATGTCAAACCCATTTAATTCTGAGGTCACTAATCTCACCCTCGATAACTTTTGGGCTTTAGGAAGCTGCCTACTCCTCAGTAGCGACAAACAATTCCAGGGGGAAAAAGCATATTCATGATGAGCCACGTCCGAAGCACTTTTGCTAAGGTTTATTTTGTTTGGATCTCAATGAGAGGCGTTAGGATTGACATTGTGTGTGATAGCAAGTTTCGGCTTTAGGCTCTGTACGCCATAATAACGCTTCGTGTACTCTACGGGTAGGTAATAGAGTACATACATAGTGTCCTGACGTGTCAGAGATTGTTTTGTACAGTATATCATATCAGTTGGTATGTCGCTACATATGTGGTCTCGCATGAAATGATATTTCGATGCCGCGCAGAAGCACCAGGGCCAAGTGGACTCTCGCAGGATACCATAGTGATTGGTCCACGAAGACCAGTCCTTTCTTGTGATCGTTGATTCAGGTAGGCTCGATGCGGCATCAACATGGCGCACCCTCCGTGATGCGTTTCGGCTCGTGCTGCGATAGATCGATAGGTGCTTGCGCTGCGCGTGTCAGCAAGGCTAAAGGTATCCCTAATGCTCTTGGTGGGCAGAATCATATTTCACCCTGGGCCGTAATCTGCACAAGAGTACCGACTCGCTGAAACGTGTGCTGGGCGTTGAGGGTGCCTGTTTCAAGCTGTGACACTTTGCACCCGTTATCATTGACACCCGTGAGACCTCACTTGAGCCATATACTCAGAACGCTACGAGAGCCTGCTTAACACCTATTCGTGATGAGGCAGAAAGGAAGGCGGTCCGATGATCATGAAAAGTCCCAGGAAAAAGAGATCTTCCTTAATTCTTGCAGTCATTCCGCCCCCGATGTGATGTAGTCACCATACAGTCGCCATCCAAAAAGGTGAGTTTCGCGCTAGAAACAGCCAAATATATATCTGCCAGCCCGGCGCATACCGGGTCTCACCTAAATTCACCACCAGCCAGTATTATCAGCACTTGTCGCACAACAACATCCTCCGCAACCTACCCAGACTAAGCGCATTCTGTAACCTGAGCTCACCTGTGCTGATCAGATAGTAACGCCAGCATACAGCAGTTGTCATGATTGATGATTAGAGAAAGCCTGAAACCTGATATATCCAAGCCATATGCCTATTGTCTCATTGTATTTAGCTATATAGAAAGGTGGAATTCGCGAGAGTCCTATCCCCACATAGAAACCTAGAATGTCATTTCATGATATACATACAGTAGTGCCGGTCGCCGAAGAAGCCATTCACTTGATTAGATTGATTGATGAACCTGAGTTTGCATCCCGTTAGGCCTGATGTTCTATGACTTCCTACACCTGATTAAATGACCACATACCGTACAGAATAAAAGCCACATGCTTCAAATAAAACATCCACTCCATCATCATTACTACAACCATCCAAAAGTAATGTGGTGCCGGAACGGTACTCTACTAGAAATGTAATTGAATCAATTGATGCATTACCCACCAAAGCAAGTTGAGTAAACGAATCAATTGATTTATTTACCGGGGACACCGTTGGTAACTGACACAAGTGATTCATCTATAACCCCAATTGATGTGTTTACAGACTCGGAGTGACTTTTTGAATGCATTAAAGTAACATGTTCTATACCATTTCGCCCGAACTGTACATTACAATAGCATTTTCTTTACACGTTTCAACTATATTCCACTAATGTGTGCATAAACCTATCATTATTCTGTGTTATTTGACGTAGGTGATATATACTATCAAGTGTTTCTGGAGCTTCTAGGTTCAACTATCACTGATAGCAAATATTTTTGCTGTTTTTGGGCAAACAAATCAATGACCACCTAGAATATCCTCTTTTGGACTATTTCATTTATTAATGTGTAAAAAAAATCAATATTGAACTAAAGGATTCATTTACTGATTCGTCAACATACAGGAAAAACTCGACATTTCCCGACGTCATTAACCAGCACGCAATTCAGATGATTCATTTACCACTAAAATCCTAACGTTCAGAATTGATTCATTTACTGATTCATTTACTTACGCTGTAGAAGTATTAACTAGTAATGTTAGTGCTAGTAACACTCCAGCATTATTTGACATATGGGGCCAGACAGGAGTCGAATATGATCTGTACGATAGTTTTGTCATATACAGGGTTGGTAGTAACTAGATATTTCAAAACCTTTTATAGTACTCAAATGGCACAGTAAGAGGGCTTTAGTTTTTTTCATTTTTTTTTTTTCATTTCCTATGTCAGAAATATGTGAGAGGAGGCGGAAGAGAAGGTGCAGTTCAGGGGTATTGCCATAACTGTAAAGTTGCATGCAATTAATGAATTAAACAAAAAAAAAAAATGGCACAGTAGCAGAATTAGGACAAGTGTTGAGTCACGCTGTAAACAAGTCACTAGCATTGACACTTAGAGATGACTACCCCCGTACATGGGTGATTTTGTTCATTTACGCAGTGCACTTCGACGGCTGCTGCATCGAACGCTTCGTTTGCATTGATGGCAGAGTGATCATCACGGCTATCACGGCCTTCATGGCCACAAGGACCCCACCTCCATTAGCAACAACATTTCCAGCGATTTAAAAGCATTATCGATTCACCACCCCCGCTGCACTTACTACCCTACGACCACACCATGGCCACGACTACCGCAACGCTTCAGCCCCAACACCCGTCAACACTGTCATTCCACCACCACGAATTACCTAATATCATTCCAATCGCAGTACTACCGGCCATGAATCCAGTAAAAAAAAACGACGTCAGTATTCTGGTTGAGCCACCAGCAGGACCCTGGCCCAAAAGCGGTCTTTCCCAGCATCATGAGGAGCCCATCACCACTCATGTACCGACTGCGCTTGAGAGTCTGTCACCGCCGAAAGCGGAGAGCTTTTGATGAACTCTGATGAACGACCGTACTGGAACCCCTCCCCCCCATGATAGAAGAAGGAAATGAAGAGACAACGAGAGAAGAAGGGAGGTATAGTATGAGCCATCACACTGTCTCCTACCTCGCAGGGAAGCACTACACTATATATAGAGCGAAGACGCAGATTTCAACAGTCACTAACATCATCACCGATGATCACTGAACGTTGTATGCGGGTTCAACAAATTGTATCCCAGCCAGGCAAAGAATCCAATGGAGTATTAACCCCTGTGGGAAGCCGTTGTTTCGCGCCACGTCCTTTACTAGAGCGTAAACCCAACATAGCGTCGGCGGTTCGGAGTCTTGGCGCGAGTGAGATCGTATGATGAATATTGAATCGTCAAACTAGAGAGGGGTTAAACTACGGGAAATTCAGGGACATAAAGAACACAATGTGATGCCGATGGAGGGTAGTTTCCGTGGTTTAGACATTACTGCTTAGACTTTCGGAGGTACAGGCCTAGGCTATATATAATGTACCACCACAACCCCACCAGCGCCCAGGCGACCCAGTGCTCGGCCCCGGGACGTCTTCAACAGCGCCCCAGCACCAGCACTTCATCTTCATCAAGAGACAGCTCCGTGAAGATGCCTCTAGTATTACAACGCCTCCACAACGTGTCCGGCGGCGATCGTCTTTACAATCACCTTTTGATTTATCAACAACAAATATACTGTCTTATCATGCAAGCGGTGGCCAAGCATATGGGCCCAACTGTCGTACCCTGATAGTCAACGACGGATGGAAACCTTCATTAAATGCAATATGTGCTTGATTTTCAACATGCAGGAGCTCTTACTTTAATCGATATAGAGTGCTTAGCAGTAGTAATGCGGCCTGTAATGCTTACGATGGTGGAAATGCAGCGGAAAACAATACTTTCAGTTATTCCCTCCTTAGGATTTATGTGGTGGTACGCCGTCTGCCCGACCCGGCGATGTAACCAATGAATCAAGCAAACCAAAAAAAAAAAAAAGAAGCTCGTCGTCAATACGGTGGGCCAGCGAGTCCGCATGCAATCAATGAATTAAACAAAAAAAAAAAAAAACGGTGGGCCAGCGGGTATCGCGCGAGTGGTAATCTATGATTAGCTGTACAGAAGTTCGTGACCGGATGAATTTCTCCCCTCTGATGAGGGCCAGGGCGGGCCCTTTGAGGTTTGCACTCAAAGGCTTACGTGTGTGCGAAATCTTACTTTAGTATGGCCAACGCAACTGAACCTCCACGCCCCGCCTCGTCTCCTTTCGTTTCGTGCCCAATAATACTTGCCCCACCATGCCCTGAGCGCCGCCCCTCTCCATTGGGATCTTATCCTAACTCCACCCGCATGTCTTTGCATATTGGTGGCGTTCCACTCAGAGCTGGTGTCCCAACGTTTCAGAATGTTCCACCACAACGCAGTACATCCTATTACTACAGGTCATTTGAGTTAAGTGCCGTTTCATCTCTGTTCAAATTTCGCCAACTAGATTGATGTATGGTGCATGTTTATTTCGCTCGCGAAGGGCGAGAGCGAATTGCAATGTTTCCAATACCTTGGACCAAAGAACATCACGTACAGTTCGTGAACTAAATAGACAAGATTCTAAGAATAAATGCGAGATATCTAACTACACAAAGGAATATAATGACAACTTCGATAGAACACTGTATAGTATGAAATACTAATAAATAAACCTTCCTGCCTCACTAAAAATGAGGCCAATAGTCGTTCCATCTCGGTGTGTTGAATGACCCTACGGGTAGGCTCCGCATACTCACAAAGGATATTATCGTGATTGTAATGATAGAAACGGCGTACGCTATAAGCAGCAGCAAAACAACCCACATCAACAAAAAATGCAAAGACGTCATGAAACACCCCCCACGCTTACTCCGAGGACTCTTTTCTTGATTTATCCGATAGCCATGCCGCTCCGCCATTCTGAGTAACTGGTCGCTGATCGCCTTTGTCACACCCCAGAGATGCCGTTTCTTTTTGTAATCTTCGGGGTGGCCGAGATGGATTTCCCAGACCGCGGTTACTAGGTCCACTTGGTAGGCCGTAATAGACGCAATAAACACGGCGAGGGTTGGACACACGCACATACCGATGGAGGATGCTCGCCATAAGACTCTTCCACATTGATTCTCAAAAGGAAAGTTCCATGCAGCGGCATGTAGGGCGCCAGTTAAAAACACTAAGGATGCTTCAGCCCCCATAGCCTTCCAGTGCGATTTCTTTCCCGCGTCTCCCCGCACTTCCGAACGTCCCCCTTTTTCCAAATTGTCATCTTTCTCGGAATTGTGTCTGTTGTTTGAATTATCAAGGCAGCTTGACATGTCGTAGAAAGCTTTCGCGGTTATTCCGGTTAGGTCCGGTGGTGTCTTTTTGAAGATGAACCTTTGACCTTTTGGGTTAACCGCAAAATTCGTCTTTCGATTATCGCGGAGCTTTTTCTCTTCGGACGTGAGGTAAACCAGCTCTTGTTCCGCTTCATTGAGGCCGCCCTCAAGATCTGTCTGGTGCAGGGCGGCCGGGAAGGTACCCCTGACCCTTCTTCGTAGGGTTATCTCAATGTGTTGGTTAACGTCCAGAGGCTTGCCCCACCAGCAGAAGAATATGATCATTGTGCAGACAACCTGTATTGCCACATGAACCTCAAGCAATGTCACCGGTAACCCTGCTTGCCATCGCGCAAAACACTGTACAATCAGCCACAATGCCTGAAGACCGGCGAGACATTTGGCCATATTACTCGCTTTCCCCTTATCCAGAATTGCTTGCCTGTGGCGACCCATATCGTCCTTGTCGATAAGGTCGATGTAGTGTTTGAAACCTTCATAGGTGAGAATAACATGTCCCTCGTCTTGCTCACGCTTACGAAAAAAGGTATCCTGTTCTCCGCTTGCATTCTGATCAATGGTTACAGGCGGTTCTTCACCCTGGCCCTGGATGCGAACAGTGCCAGTGCTTGGCCTCTTTACCACAAACCCACCCATCACCACAAAGAATGCCCCTTCCATGCCGAAGGTACTCTTAGAGTCTTGCCAAAACTTCAAGAAAGTATACCATGGTTCGTCCTCCTCCTCATGTTCGTCTCGACGCTGCTTCAACCACAAATTGTGAAGGTCCTTTGCTTGCCTGTACTGCGCAAAGGCAGATAATATAAGACCTTCGGGAACAACAATTGCTACAAGCATGAGTACTGCTTTGTAGAAGAGTCGGTAGTAGGACTTCGCCCCGACGATGATGTTAGGGTGGACGGTCCCCCAGATACAGAAGAGGAAGGTTGCAACACAACTAAGAATGATACCGGTGGTTCCACGGCCCCTTGGCTCGGACCGGAATTTGATTGGAACGCCGGCAACTGTGATATTCTTATCGGCATAGGTGATATCTCGGATGTCTGTGGCTTGTCCGAGTGACTGATATGCAAGCGCTAGGAGACATATTGCGTAGACTGGATACCGGCTATATCCCATGGAAGAACGAAAGAGCGATTCTTATAGATTGCGAGTCAACTACGTGTATCAAACACATGTGTTATGGGGCTAGTATACCTAGCTAAAGTCTTTTTGGTTTCTTCTGTGATAGGCCGAATCTCAATTTCTAGGTTCAAAGGATATAATTATATATAAGGGAGAGACAATGGTCGTGAATTAAATGTTGACTGGTTTAGCAAATTGATATAAAGTTTAGCTTGGGATAAGATATGTTTGACACAGAAATTGACCTTTTAGGTTTTAGGTCTACCAGAGTCATGGGTGTCTATCACCTTCATATACGTACGGGAAAAATAAGTCTTTCCTTAGCCTCAGCAGACTTTGCTAGAGTTTGCACGAAAGACTTATCACAGCTCGGTGTAATATTTCCCCGCTCACTATACCGCGTCACGCTCAGTACCAGCATGCGCATTATCCGTGGTACCACCAGAGCCTCACTACTGGCACGCTCAATGAACCAACTGATCCGTGATTGGTGGCCGTGATCTCAATTCTACCTGCCTTTACATGAGTGTATTAGAATGTGCAACCGTTTGGGAATTATGCTCCTCGATCACAGCTGGAGGTTACTATTCCTAATTTACCCGGATCTTCAGCCAATACCAACATTTTCCGGAACCAATACATAGATCCTCTATCATGCGGGAAACAGTTTCAGAGATAGTGGCAGTGTTTTCACCAGAGATCTAGATTCTCAGCGCGTTGGCTAAGATGAAATAGTGAGTGGGCGTTGGAGCAGAATCGAAAGGTTTCTACGATCATAATATGTAGGTTACGTATTGATCCACTCCATCATGCGCATTTCACATGCACACTTTGAAGAGTAATCATGAGCACACCTTCGAGAGAAACGACTCGTTCGTTTTGATCCCATCCGCGTGGCCAGCGATCAATTGAAACAGTAAATAGGAAAGATACATTAAATACACGCTAAAGGAAATGTGCCGCCACCAAAGGACTTGAATCGTGAAAATAGCTGTCGGAGGCAGAATAATGTCGTGCTCGTACCTAGATAGCGTTTCCGTGCTAGACTTCGTCTACAGCTGCATATGGTCATATTCCAAGGTTTCCAACAGTTCATCCGTTCTGCCATACAAACCGGTTTTGTTAATATTTCGGTTCAGTTCTTCGCCATGAGTTAATTCGTGCTCAACGGTTCATCTCAATTAAAAACCGGTTCAAACCAGTTTAATAAACCGTTGTGATGCTATTACGCGTGATATAGAGATCGAGGGTAGTTCCTGGCCTGGGTCACCTTTTAGACCAACTCAGGTGCTATAGCTAGATAGATTATTGAATGGACTGTGTCTTGACGTGGAAGACACCCCTCTATCAGAAGATCTGGAGTTATAACAACTTACAAATAAATAAAGTGAGCGTTCAAAGAAACAAGCCCATCATCAAATAAATAAACCAACCTCCAACCAAATCATAGAACGGCTGTAAATATAGTTACAAAATCGGTTTATATAGCCACAAATACAGCTCAGTCCAATTCAGCCCAGCTACATGGCAACCCAGTGGACCAGTTCTGGATGGTACGCTCCCGAAATACCGGTTCCCTCCATTGGAATCACCGGCACATTCTGGTAGTTATGTACCATACACAGAATATCACTCGTGAAACCAGGTCTGTGCCAAGAAATAATTTAATACGCTCGTTCGACGATCCGTCACACTTTGGAGCGCAAGACCCTCGGTAGTCTACGGTAGACAAAGCCTCAAGCTCTGACCCAGCAAGAAACCAAGCTCGATTGACTATGATGATGAGACAAGAGGAAGCTGGGTCTAGCTACGGTTTCCTGCTCAGGTAACGTCCTGACACGCAATTAGCTTTCTTTGACCTCGTTCGCCTTGCCTGCGTCACAACGCTAATATAACGATTGCTTGGCATCTCATCCCTCCTTACACAAGATGGATTAGCGCTAGGTTGTATTGTGTTGTTTATTCACTTGAGCCTTCTTCACTCTCCACATGCGCGCTTACTGTTTTCTTCGGAATCTTATCCCGCCCTTTGCGCGAAAAGATCCAGCGCTAAAAGTGTCAACAAATATGGTTCAATCGGGTTAAACAACTGAAAGTAGGCTAGGCGCGGGACAGGGATTATGCAATCGATTAATTGATTTATTAGGAATATCGTTTATCCGTGGGTGTCCTCCTTCCGATTCGAACGTCAATTATTGGACCTACCGGTGATCTACATATGTAGGCCAGACACTCTACTGAATCCCTGCCACTTTGCGTTATTGCCAACTACATCAACATAATATCTGAGAAGAGCCCGATGAGATTGAAAAGTATGCAATAGACTTTTAGGCGCAGCCAAATTTTTTATATTCCACTAATTAGTATTTTGATTGTCAGATTTCACTGGCCCTAGTCAGGAAAAATCTACAATCCAGGGGATGGGAAAACTACATATTAATGATCTTTTGTACCCAACAGCTACTTGTTTCCAAAAATCATCTGTAAATAACATCGGAATTAATTCTTGAATAAAGTCATCTCACTATAAATCTCGCCCGTATCTATAGTCGCGATTCCTGATTATATTTATCCTGAGCGTATCGCTCCCGCGAGACCCTGCGAGGGGCATCTCCTATCTGCGCATCTACGGTCACTTCATGGTGTTACATTCATATAAATCTGGATAAATTTCAGGTAGCATAGCAAGTGAGCAGGCCGAGTAGTCACAAACCTGCTTCCAGAGCATCAATCTCTGCCAACCCAGGACCCACTCTAGGATGTTCACTTTTTTTCAATGAAGCGAGCAAAATTGGCAGTAGACTCGGTAGAATTTCATAGATATCATTGATAACGTCCCACTAAGGGAGTGTCTTTAAATAAGAAAAACATATCTACTCCTACGGCTCTGGCGACGGGGTATCCGCCGCCCATCCCAGGTTTGTCTCCGTCACCGTCCCTTGCAATATCTCCTTTATCAAGTCCTCGTCCGACTTATCCGCGCTGCTCGTCGAATTGTGTCGCTGTGATATTGCCTTCGACGTCTGCTCAACCACGGCCTACGATCGAGTTAGCTGCTAGATCTGAAATGCCCAAACACGGCCAATATACCTTCATACTGGCCACCATGACCAAAACCTTCGTGAGCCCAGTCAACCCATTGAGCTCCTCGGGTATCTCCACAACCTGCTGCCGAAGAACCACAGCAACACCGCCTTCTCGGTAACACCCCATCTTGATAACCTGCATCTTCAAGCCTGCACAGAGCACACCAACTACCTGCAGACTCGGCTTGTCCTCCCCCAAAACATTCACAAGCCCGCATAGTACCGCCAGCATGTCACGGAGGGCCTTCAGGAGCTTTTCTTCGTCACCAAGCCGCTTGGTAGATTTCAATCCCCCTGCTGCAGAGCGCGCCACTTCCATGCCACCAAATTCATGGGCCTCGTCCCCGGTGCTCCTGATTACGCCGTCGAGTCGTCTGCCCTGGCGCATGCGGGTATCGAGTGTTCGCGCTCGGTTTTTGCGAGCGGCGGTAGAACGGCAGGGCGAGTCCTTGCGGACAAGCACGATTGAGGGGAAGGATAGAAAGCACTGGTCGAGGATGGGCGCCCAAATGAGGTTTGAGTAAAAGTCTTCCAGTTGTTGGCTACGGAGGGGGTGGGCGGGTGATTCCCAGAGGACGAGTCTGTTTGACCGGTGTTAGAAGCATTATGTAGCACGAAAAAGGGAAAAAAGGGAAAAAAGGGAAAAAAGAGAAAAAGAGAGGGGGGGGGGGGGGTACAGATTGCGTATCACAAGGTCAGCCCACATCCTAAGGAAGTCGCGCTCCGCATCAAAGGTTTGACCCGGCTCGAGGAAGGAGGTAGTTGCTAGGACATTACGCAGATCCGCAGGGCTCTTGCAGGATCGGAAGCGGTGTAGCGATTGCACCATCGACAGTATGCCGGGGGTGCTGGGTGGTTCAGGGAGCGACTTGCTAATCTCGTCCAATTCTTCGGGCTCAAACCAGGAGCGCATATTTGGGTCGTCGAGGTCGATGGTAAAAGATAGTGCAAGAGATGAAGCCGAGACGGGAAAGCTCATGCGACGACAGTTCTCGAAAAGCACAGTCTCGACGTCACGACCAGAGGCTAGACGCCAGCGATGAGATTGACGCTGGTAAGTTGCAGTGAGGGATTCAATAACGCGCTCATCGGCCAGAACGGGTCCCCCGACAGTTGAAGGCAACAGGCCACCATCAGCCTCTCCTCGCTCCTGCTCCCCGATATCGTCTTCAGTATCGTCAGGTCCGTCAGCATGCGCACTAGCGGAGGGTGATTCTGGCGCATCAGCAGGTCCCGCGGCGCCGGCATTCACCGCAAACGACGAGTTGACAACATCCGAGTTGAATACTGGCGTGAAATTAATCGTCTGGCCTGGCGGCGCCGTCAGGGCCCTCCGCTGCTTCTGGAGCCAGTGTCTACCGGCAACGCGATCTGATCCGGCACCCTGTACACAAGTGTTAGTACTCATGAACCATTTTCCCATCGCACACAATAGACGTGGGAACCAAGCGATTCGGTCCTACGCTGTATCGAGGCGATGGGAATAGAAGGGGAACCAGATCCCATTGCTGGCCGGACGAAGACCCAACAGGCCGCCGGAGCAGATGGGCACCACATATGCAAGGATGAGGTCGGACGATCGAGCCGACCGTCCGTTCGGTCCCGCTATGGTGTCAAGCACAGAGGTCCAGCAGACGCCGTGCTTGTGGTTGTAGAGGGAGAGCGCGAGAAGGGGCAGCAGGGGTAGAAGGAAATATACCTTCCTTTTCGTCATAGAGCGCCAGGAGACGAAGGGCACGTGAGCGTTGGTTGTCGTTGTGGCATTCTGACTTGCAGGACGCGATATTTTCAAGGGACGGACGCCAGCTGTCTATGATGCGGTTGGGATCTTTGGTCCGATGGTGGCGGTACGAGAGGTAGTTTGCCAGAGACCAATCCTGGTGACGGCGCTTGAAGAAGGGGGAGTTTTTGTGGTGGGGATCTGTCTGCCGGGGGTAATCAGTAAGATGGATTTTTTTTTTGGGGGGGGGGGGATCTAGGTGGTGTTTAGGAGTAGCGATAACATACGTACCCGACACACTGCTACTAGTACTGGAACTGGCCATTAGGGGCGATTGGGGATCTGAAATCGATTTCTTGAGAAAGGAACATGATTCCGATGGAGGGGGAGTAAGAGCTAGAAGAGAGGATGTTAATTATGTGGGGGTGTGCGATCGAGTTGGTTGGTTGGTAGTTGGAGGTTGAAATAGAGGAGGTTGGGTCGATGTTTGCAAGTTCCTTGGCGGCGGCGATGGTGTGGTTTCTGAGTCATCACTGTGAATCAGAATGTGCACTCTGCTGGCAATCACTTGTCGCCAAGGATACTCCTGTCTCGTGCCCAGCCAAAGTTATTCTTGGCGCCAAGGCTCGCACCTCTCATCTACTTGACTGCGGGAAGCAGTAAAAAAATAATCGTTAGGGTAGGCTCAAATAAGGCAAATATCACCGTTTTGGGAGTATATTCCTTATTCTAATTTTAAGTCTCTAACAGCGAACTCCAGCGATTAAACATTGATTTTTCAGACTTATTTAAGACTTATTTAATTTAAGGCTTATTTAAAACTTATTTGATTTAAGGCTTATGTAAACCTTAATCGATTTTAGGCTAATTCAATCTTAAAACTTATTCTAGGTTTAAGACAAAACGAAAAGGGAAGAGACTGAACCCAGAGCATTGCAGGTATACTATACCCCAAGCTCTCAATCTACCCATTAGGCTATGGGAGAATTAAGATTTTGATATTAGAACTATTATATAGCTAAGATAATCGATAAAATTCGAATTTATTAGCCTTAAATAAGCCTTAAATAAGTCTTATGTACCAGAGAGTCTTGATTGATGAAAAAGACAGATCTAGTATAAAGACTTATTTAAGAATTATCTGTATATAATGTATATGTATAGCTAAAGGCATATATGTGCCTTATTCTGGAGAGAGTCTTAGAAAAAATAGAGCCTCATACTAAAATAATGCTAAAATCACCAAAAAACGCTTATATATGCCTTTTTCGCTAGTAAATCGTGATTGAAGGCTTATTTTTTTACCCGTTGCCACAGTCAAGTAGTATCTACATGTAGTAGCTGCCAATCTCAATTTATGCTATCAAATAAAGCCTTATGTTTCTCTTTTTCCTACTAATCCGGCCTGGAACCTTTTTTTTTGCCTTTGAAAGCACTTTCCCGGCCGGTCGGGCGGTGTATTTATAAACAGAACAATCATTTCATTAAAAGGCTATTCCAACATATTCCAGTACTAGTACACCCTTAATGTTCTATGTAGGAAGCCTGGGTGCAGCTAGGGCTAATCATCACCCGCCATTTGCGAAATTGCTTTTCGTCCTGACCTTTTATATATTAGGAATATATTAGTAGATTCCTATGAAGTGCACACCCATTTATCATGATCAAAACTTCTCCGCACTTTCCTACTGAGATTCACCTAGGATCGAAATAAAGTGAATTCTAAACTCCCCGGTTCGCTTCAGAGCGTGCAGCTCCCTAGCGTGCCAAGGGAAAAAGGGAACTGAAATGCATGAATATACTCAAATTTGAAAACCTCAGACCACTATCCGGACGTATGTAATTGTTATATTCCGTTCTTAAAGTCGATAGCGCACATGTTGGTGTAACTCGAGTGACCAAAATAATAATTCGGAAAATACGGTCCGGTCGCTACAAATCAAGTTTTATCTACTCGAGAGAAGCTCTCTCTTGATAGTTACAAATCTAGAGGCCAAACTACCTCTAGTGTAATGGTACACATAGCATAGAACCACGTCTAGCCTTTACAATGATACGTTTAACAATAGAATTGTTAACACAAAGCAATATAACAACATAGCAACGATTGAGAATAATCAACATATACTAGGGCTGCACAGCAGGCATACAACGCGGACGAATACCTTCCTCCAACAGTACACACCATTTGCGATATCATCCTTCGTCTTGACATTATATCACAGAAGATTATATCCGCGCCAATTCTAAGCAACCACAGACCCAGTCTTATTTTTCGAGTTCCCCATACCCAGTAGTCCCTACCACAGCAGTTTATGCATCAATGGATGCATTACCCATATTAAGGAAGCGGGTAAATGCCTCAATTGATGCATAAACTCTCTACTAGCAATGTAAATGAATCAATTTGATGCATTACCCACCAAGGCGAATAGGGTAAAAAATTGATTCATTTACCGGGGACGTCGTTGGTAAATGACACAAGTGATGCATTTACAGAGTGACTTTTCAGAATGCATTAAAGCAGTATTTTCTTTGCACATTTCCACTGTTCCGGTTATTTATGCATGAACCTCTAATTATTCTGTATTATGTGGCGTAAGTGGTATTGTAGCAAGTGTTGCTTAATTGCTTGAGTTCGATCCCCACTGCCAGCAGCGTTTTTATTGCTTTTTGGCAATGTGTTTAATCATTATTTAATGTGTCAAATAAAGGGGCATATTGAACTAAGGGATTCATTTACTGATTCGTTAACACATAGTAAAAACGTGACATTTCCCGATGTCATTAACCACCCAATCTATGATCCATTTCCCACCAAAATCCTAACGTAGCGAAAAGATTCATTTACTGATTCATTTACTTACGCTGTAGAGTCTGGAAAGTCGTTAGCGGTTAAGATCTGTCCGACTGTCGTAATTGATAGGTAAAGTAATAGGTATAGTCGTTGTTTAATGTATTCATCGTATGCATAGATGCGGAAATGTATTCGTAAATGTGTTAGTAAATGCGTTCTATAAAGTAAATACATCAGTAAATGCGTTCTATAAAGTAAATACATCAGTTAATGTGTTCTCGTTGGGATGTCATTAAGTACATAGTAAAGTCGTCATATAGCGGAGTGTTGAAATATGCTGCCCGACAAGGTATTTAACATCCCTCCCAATTTTGGACTTGGTAAAGTTTTTATCTATTGCGTAGGCGAATTTGCCTCCTACTGTGGTTGATATAGCACCGATTTATTACCTCAATATATCAACTGATAGCTTAGGTGGTAAGTCGTGGGTCAATTAAATACAATAGTACAAGTTCGATTCCGACATTGTATTTTATTTTTATACCATCGAAATTCAGAGCACATTTACTGATCCATATACTGACGATTTAAGTGACCAATAAACCGCCGAAACGAATAGACTGACGAATTGACTGACCAATTGACTCACGAATCGACTGACCAATTGACTGACGAATCGACTGACGAATCGGCTGGTTAATTGGCTCTTACTTAATGATCACGAGCACATACAAGTACATGCCTCGAGCAAGGTATGTAATCAGTAAAATCGTAAAGTGGGACTGGAGATGCATTAGTTGATGCATTATTAAGATGCATCACGGTTTGAAAAGATGGGATGCATTTACGGATGCATTATCAAGATACATTTCCCACCGTAGTAGAGAGTGCGTATTAATAATCCGGAACTTCACCCCTCCCGCCTCCCAAAAGAAAATGTGCTCAAAAGGCTGTCTTCCCGGTTGAGCCACAGACCGCTATCTGAGGTCCCCTGGACTTGGAACTCCACACCAAGAAGAGCGAATAGGGCACCATCTCACAGCAGAACACAGGGAAAGAGTTGAGCCGTTCTTCAACACATGTTACGTTGCTCCTACGCCCGCATCTGATAATTTCAACAAGTTCTTTATTGGTGCGGCCGATCGAGTGATAATCCATGACCCATACACATCTCCTGGAGTCTAATCTCCAACACGATATGCACGTATAACAAGTTCTTCAAAAACTCACTTTGCAAATTAGTCCGCACCGGTACACCCCCATGTTCGGTCATACACCTTGTACGTTCCGCTGCATCCTGTAGCATGATACAGAACGAAGATGGTTGAACTATACAATTATCCTGGCTAGTCCGAGAAAACGGTCATCATCGACCAGCTTTAGCCTTCCGGGATCCCGTTGGAATATCTCAGGAGCCGGTTGACTTCTATCGCGAGGCCAAGGGTCTTATGGTTGGGCTCTCTGTCCAGGAGCCGGGGTTTGATTCAGAGTGGGTCAATACCTGTAGGTTTCTCTAATATTGTTGAGTGTTTAGGTTGATAATTTGGTGGTATCGCGAGACTCTACATGGGGCACGAGGCAAAGATAGACGCATCAAATCACCACAGAACTCAAACGCACAACCATTCACATCAAAGAACTCATCATCATCATCATCATCATTTCTACTTCAGCTTTTTACTCTCCCACCTAGCCATCCTACTTCTTCGCATGCGCCTCCCTAATCTCCTCCAACAACACCTTCGCCCTCCCCGCACTCTCCCTCACCTCGTCATCCTCCCTCTCATAGTCCTCCACCCCGCCCAATATCTCTATAAAGTCCTCCCACCTCGTCACAAACCTCTCCCCCGTGACCCCCATCCCCTTCTCCACCTCCCACCAGCTGCCTCCCTGCTCCCAGAAAATCCCACCTACAACCCCAAGCGCCTTCTCAAACGCCATAATATTACTCCCGCGGTAATCCCACCCGCCAGTAGTCGCCTCCCCGTCGTCAAAGATGCCCAGCGTCGCGCGGTGCAGCACCCCGCGAGTGTTGACCATGTCCCGCGCGAGCAGGATGGCGCAAAAGTGCACATATGACACCCAGGCTTTGCGGCGGAAGTCGAAGCTGCCGCCGAGGCTGTGGGTGCGGTCGTTGGTGCATTCGATGCCGTCGTCACGCTCGACGTGGTCGCCGCTGCACCAGGCGCCGCCTTCACATGGGCCGCCTTTCCGCACCTCACTGTCAGCCACTGTATTACTTCAAAGAAGCAGGGGGGGGGGGGAATACCAATCGCGTTATCGATAGTGATCCAATCCAAGTCATCATACTTCCCCAGCTGCTGCGTGCGGCATTCCTGCGGGGCAGAAGCGACCAGCCCGTCCCAGAAGAGCTTTACAAAGTCGGCGAGTTTCTCGTTGGTGGTGCCGTCGGCGCGGACCTGGTTGATGACGGCGGCCCAGATGTGGTCGATGAGCTGGCGGATGATGGTGGTGGGGGTGGTGTCCGGGGCGGCCGAGGCGGCGGCGGTGGGGTAGAAGGCGTGGGTTGCGGCGATGGCGGAGGTGGCGAGGTCGCTGGCTGGGAGAGTGGCGGTTTGGGAGAGGAGGGTGGAGAGGGTGGTGGCGAAGGGGGTGAAGTCGGTGGTCATTGCGGCGGTGATGGGGAGTGATGGAGGTGATGGAGGTGATGGAACGTTGTGGGGCTGGTGATGTATTGGTTGTGGAGCTCTCTGGCGAGATGGGTGTGTTTTATAGCAGCAGCTCGGTTGCAGATGGAACGGAAAAGCAGCAGCTCGATAGAATCAGTGATGGAAAATAGAATGGGCCGTAATCGGGGGAGAAGCTGTGATGGATTCAAGCAAGCAAGCAAGTTAGCAGGAGATGAGAAGTAACAGACACTCGTGATGGACACAGAGAAGAAGAAGAGCAGAAACAGAAAGGGAATGTAAGACGGGTGGGGATTCTCTTTAACCTTCGCACACACGACAGGGATAAGAGATACTGCTTATTATAGATCTTTGCCGCCCTGGCAGGTACGGCACAGGGATGAGCCGCAGCGGTAGTTGCGACATGCTTTTGATCTGGGGGGTGGATTGACAGAGTACTCTACGAGTCCTGTGATGATGCACTTTAGTATTCGCTGAGAGCCGATTGGGCAGAATAGAGATGCTGGGGAAGATTGTGAGGGTCTGTATTGCTGTTGGGGAGATACCTGTATATGTAAGATGAAGTGTCTCGTCTCGATACATACATGTACTGTCCTCGCAGTGTAACAGCAGAGGGCTGTCGTTGCAGTTAACGTTGCCCCATCCTCTGCACACCACCGCAGGCACTCAACCCTCCAATCGGCACAAACCCCCCAAAGTGCAATGTCCACCATCTGCCCCGTTATCAGCACGATCGATCGACGGATGAGCAAAAGAAAAGAGACCCGATGTCACGATAAGCTGCAATCCCCCTTCCCACACCTAGAGAGTACTGAACCACTGCAGGTCGGGATGACGTGCATGATCCCCCCCCCCACCCAACATCCCTGCGCACTCATATATGCAGGTACACAGCATGATCCCTGCACCTTCCCCTTCCCTTCCGTAAGTCACAACTAATCTACTAAGACGCGCCCGATCGGGAAGTGGGTACCATCCAACGACATGCAGCGAGTTGGTAGACATCGTGCAAGGCGAGAAATTACAATAAGGCATGCTGACCATGGCCGCTATTTTTGTATTAGTGGAGTCGATGTCTAAGATATCAGTACCGGAGTCTTGGTGTACGTAGTTGTGTCGAAAAGGTTCTTTTGTGAGCGGTGAGGGTAGGTGCGTCTGCGTGGTGTTAAGTTGGCGAGAGTAATGAAACTGGTCTCCGCTGCAGTGTATGTTTTTGATCTGCCGAAACATTGTTTTATATTTATTTCCGGGCAGGCAGATGCGCCTGAGGCGAGCTCCAATTGGGTGCCACAGCACGGTTTCCGGCGGTGGTTTGGTTGTGCATCTTGGGGTGGGTTGAAGCGCGCGGGTTGAGAGATCTCAGGCGAGACACCATTCCCGTGTAGACGCTTTGCCCCCGCGCGTATGATGTATGTGGATCAAGTGTACTAGAATCGAAACCCGTCATTCTTTCCCGCTAGTTACCGCTTGTAGCGCCTCAACGTGTAGCTTCCATCTCGTTCGCGTCAGTATACCGCCATAAGCCCGGGGCCCATCTAGCAACTGTAATCAGGATGATCAAGATTATACTCATAAGCATAAGCTCGCAATATAAACCATATATGTTCATACTGTGCTCGTTTGGGACATGATTCAGCCCGCGTGTATAGCCTTCTCAGCCGGAGAATGTAACGTAAGGCGCACAATCGACGGTACCTCCCTCACTTGCTTGCTGCTGTACTGGTACTTGTGCTCTTACTGTAAGACCAGTTCGGATGCAACGTCAAGATAGAACTTTTGTGGTGGGAGGACTTGCATGGCGGTATTACACCAACTTGGTTTCCCTCCGCGGATCCGTTTCGGTTTTCTTTTTCATCATTGCCCGGTTTGCGGAGTGAAAAAGGTGTACGTTCGGTCAGGCAATGTTCCAGACATCTGCTTCAATTGCAATGTTCAACTTACTGCAACATTGTCCGGCTCTGCTAAACTTCACGCTACGTCTCTGTCCAACACAGCCATTGCATAACACTACCTCACAGACCTCATAGCCACGAAGGGGCTCAAAGCCAGCATTGTCACCATGCCTATATATACACACGCCATTACAAGTAACCAACACCGACACCCACAGCGCCACATCTTGGGGCTTCGCGTTTCCCCGCCGGCCCCCCAACCACACCACATGTGATCCCCGATCAAACTAATGTTAACCTCGGACACCACTCCCAGGCTTCTTGCCTGTAGCTGATGGATACAATGTCGACCCTACGCCCTTACCGGGTAAGGCATAATTATACAATTATAGACCATTGTTCCAGTAGTCTGTAGTAGACTTTGGTGTTCTCGTGGTAAGGGCGAGGACTCTCGTTTATACTCTCGGTTCCGGGTATACATAGAGCATGAGCAGTAGTATCGTAGTATGTGCCTAGAGTCTCACACGCCGCCTACCGGTTGAATAACATTTACGGTATTTCCTGTTCCACAGATTTAGAACATCCGCCATGTGTCCCACCTCCCTATCCGCCATGTAACGTTCCCTGGTTGAGTCTCAGTTCCTTGGCCTGCCATGGTATTGGGACGGCCGGGGAAGTGTCCCATGGCCCATATAAGAAATATACCGCCGTTACCGGTGGTTTCTCCCATGGTACGTGTACTTGGAGAATGCTATAGTTAGTTGTCCGCACTAGGCGCGGGCTATGGAGTGAAATTTGTAACCCCCCCCCCCCCCCCCACTTAGGATCTAATGACCGTGGCCATGGTGGGAGTAGACTTTCCACACCGGTATACTGATCTTCGCCCCCCCCCCCCCCCCAAACGCAGCCGAGGAAGGTCTGCTGGTGATCCTAACATTCTAGAAAGCTATATGTAAGCCGCTCAAGGCCTGCCTGGTATTCTCACTCTCCCTCATATCATCCATTCATTCATTCACTCACTTTAGTACCGTCTAGTACAGTATCTATTCATTCTTTACCCATCTCAGCCGGTCCTGAGATTCTTCTCAATTTGTAGTTTCTACTTAATCTATATCCTTATTCATATATACATTCTTTATTCTCAATTTCCCCCCAATACATCAACCATGAAGCTCTCACCGCTCATCCTCCTCGCCTCCCTCTGCTTCGTCGACGTCGTCACATCCACCATCCTCTACTCCAACCCCAATGACGACTCGTACAGCCTCTCAAAACGGTAATTCCCCGCCCTCTCCCTCTCCAGACCCCACCTCCACCTACTAACATCCCCAGCTCCCCCGCCAAAGGCAAAGACAAACCCACCCGCGGCGGCGGCGGTGGCGGTGGTCGCGACAAAGGCAAAGGCCGCGCCACCGCTAGCGGCAGCAAAGCGCCCAAAAGCAAAGCGCGCGCCAAGCCCTGCGCCTCCATGGACCCACTCCCTGCCGGTCCCTTCGGGCACCTCTGCGCGGGGAACAACCAGCCCAACACCGCCGGGCTCCGGCGGCCGCCGCAGGCCAAGTTTGACCGTGCGGCGATCGAGGCTGCGCTGGCGGAGGTGGAGGGTGGAAAGACGTTTAGCACGGCGACGAAGGAGTATCCGGATACGTTCCATAATACGTATTCGAAGGCGGTGGCGGGGAGGAAGACGAGGGAGGCGGGGCAGATGTTTCCGGCGGCGGCGACGAAAGGGGGGGGGAAGGGGGGGAAGGGGGCGAAGGGGGCGACGAGTACGGGGGATGATTTGATGGAGTATCCGATCTTTGCGCCGGGGTATAAGGATGTGAGTGCTTCTTCTGTCCAGTACGCGGGTGGGTTGTGTTTGGGGGGGGTTGTTTGCTGACGCGGGTCTTTTGATGCGTTTATAGTCAATGAAGGCGGGCGCGTTTAGGATCATTTATTCACACAACAGGGTCAACAATAAGTGCAAGTTTGTTGGAATCGTGAGTGTGCCCCTATCTATATGTATACACATCCTTGCTACAGTTCTCTGACTGCCATCTCTGAATACTACAGACCGAACATTTGAACGGCGGCCAGGACGTGGTCAAGTGTAACCGGGACCTTCAGAGGAGGGGCAGTATGGGTGACACGCCACACAAGGACTCGCCGCCATTGCAGCTCCCTGCACGGAAGGGGCAGAAGGGCAAGGCGCCGCAGAAGAGCAAGACTACGGGCGGTGGCTCTCCAAAACCGGGGTTGGTGAGGTCAAAGACATTCTAGATGGGGGCGTTTGTACCACTCGAGGGGGATGTTTGAGCGTGGGAGGATATGTGGGCTAGTTACGAGATAGAGCTGGAGGCGATACAGATGTTGAGTTTAAAATTTGAATATCAAACTACATAATATGCTGCATCTCATGACTTATAAGAGACTCGACAGAGAGTCGAACTGCAGGGTGCAATTGATTATTAAAGAGAACGGAAGGAATGATCTTCTTTATAGTAAACGAAGAGGTGGTAAATAAATACGTATCATCAACACAATCAAATCTGCAGACTCGTTGTCTTGACACAGTATTAACGATAGATAGCCAAAACTGTAGATTCTGCAAGCTGTCCAGTCATCTACCTGGCCATCACACTGCCCCACGGCAAAGCAGCATTGGTCGCATCTGCATGAAATATCACTCGGAAAGAGCACTCAGCGAGTACATGATACAAGCATCCCAATACAGTCGACTCTCGCTAAAAGCGTAGACGCCTTCCAGGGCCACTCGAACACCTCCCTCACTCGAACAGTTGATGCTTATTGGTGGAGAAGCCCAACCCAAGAGGCACAGAAACCGCAGACCGCCTCCTTTTTACGTTAACTGTTCGAGTGAAGGCGTCTATCTCTATAAGAATACTCGCCCTATAAGGACACGACTTCTCGGTTCTTATTGGTCTTTTTCAGTACAAATTGGCTATAAGGGTACCTATTTTCGCTCTAGAGCGTACACCCCTTATATCGAGAGTCGACTGTATTCAGTGACCGACCTATTAGCGAGTATTATCATTTGACGCTTTCCGAGAAAAATGTTCATCCCCCTTTCAACTCCCCTCTAATATATATACCAGGATGAACCTCGGCGATGTAGTCAGGATAAAGCTGAGGCTCTGCCATTCAGCCCTTGTCGTCCATGGTCTTACAGTAAACTCCGGTGTAGGAATCCCGATTAGGTCATCTTGATTGCCAACTAATATACTGCCCTATACGCGCCGCATGCAATTATTGAATTATCAATCAATTAATCCCTGTGCGCGCTACTACCTTGTGTGGGGGTTATCTTACCTTGTCAATCATTGACCCTATCACGTGCAGGCTGACTCCAGCAAACGAGTGACTGGTCATGTTGCGGCAGTCTCCGCTAATAAAATTGCCAAGATTATTGTGTCTTGGCACGAATATTAGTAGAGTTCAACTGCTACCGCAGTTTATTCCACCCGTTTGCAGATTTGTGTTTTCATAAGCTGCTTTTCGGCCTCGCCGTTTAATTCTTGTCATATTAAGCTTACTGGCTGACACCTACACTCCGTTTGCGAGCTCTCATGATCTGCAGAAGTGCGGTGTCATATACGATATCTTATAAGTATATAAATATACCGATATGCAATGTGTTATTTAAAGGTTTTGATTGGCTAGGTTTGAGAAGTTGGTGATTAAGATTGCTTTTTTTGAGTTGCTAACACATTGTTTTCTTGAGATGATATCATGATATTCATATTTGATTTTCTCAGTAGAATATAATAGTATTGATTTTTGCTTTTTTTGTGACAATATAATCCTGATTGAATTGATTTTCCTTTTTGAGAGCAATATAATTATAATTATATTAATTTTTGTTTTTCTTTACACGATATCAGGGTATTGATTTTTGCTCTCTCCATAATTAGTAGGTTTTGGCATTACCTTCTGCTTGGAGATCCTCCTCCTCCTCCAATTCCATCCTCGAACCTGTCCCAACTCTACCGTATTCAAAGTCGTTCTTGAACCCAGACCCAAGCCGTTAGAATTAGCAAGAGATTTTTTGCTGATGAAGTATTAATACACCAACGTGAATGCAGGTATACTTGAACTTGAAATCAAAAATTAAAAAGTTGTTTTTGTTAATTTTTCATTAGATCCTTCTACATTAATATAAAGTTTTGAGTATACCCTTCCTGGGGCTATACTCTCATATAGAATTGCACTAAAATATAATATGTAATGGATTATCCTCTCCGGCCGAAGGCCGGCAACGACTTGTATATAGTATACTAGTATTGTTCGTTTTACCAGGCCTTTAGGGATGAATAGGCCATTCTGTGGCTCAATGATCACATTAATCTCCCGCAAGTTTCTTGCTTACCCCGGGTATGTGCAGCGATAGGTAATAAGTGATACAACGCCTTGAGATACAGTTATCCCTTCGTCTGTTCTCGGTCTTCGCGGCCTCTTAGCTTTGAAACGGCGCCGTGATCGACCAAAGTCTAACGAGGATTGTTTAAAGCAATACTCGATTGAAGATTTCTGCGTGACGAGTGGAGATAATTTTGCACTGCCGACAGCCGCCTCCAGCTAGGCAGTGGATTTTATGTGGTGAGCCACGAATTGCCACAAGTCCTGAGAACAAACAAAGGGATACCTGGAAACACCGCACGCTGGTGGCGTTTTACGAGAACAGGTATCACTGAGTTCCACGCCTTTCCATCACTTATTACCTACCGCTGTACTAATGGAAGCATTAACATATTATAGTGAGAAGAGATACAGTATATGAGGATTGTAGTTTCGCATCCTTAGCATATGACCAGATAGGAGATACTATTTATTCTGTAGTCTAGCGTGTGATTAGCGCGGAGATAAGAAGAGAGATTAGCTCTTTGTCTTAGAATCATCGACATCAAAAGTGGAAGCCACATTAACGAACGATACTGCACATGTGCTACATGATAGATTTTCACGTCATGTCATAGGAACCACGCTTCCCAATAGCCACTTTGCAGCGCTGATCAGGGTCAGGCATAGGTAAACCTTGTGAGTTTTACAGGATACCCGCATTTCAAAAAATCTGAAAACATTCTTGACGAGCAGAACCCTAACCCTACAAGCACATCTTCTAAAACGCGTTTGTGAAACTGCAACCATGAACGTCAGGGCTACTGCGATGACGATGTTGAAACCTTCAATTCATGCCGAATTGTATGATATGCTGTATATTGTTTGTTCTTTTTGCAGTCACGGCACATATGATGCGGAGGTCAAGAGCGAGCAAGAAATGTGGCGGATGCTGCTTGTTTGTTGTCCGTATCATTTAATGCCTTTTATAGCTCTTGATGAGGGATATGGTAAATATCAACCTAAACTTATATAACGGAGCTCTTCATTGAGATATTCTAGCTTATATTTTAAGTTTCAATATATCGGCATCTTACTAAGAATCTCTCACTTCCACATCCTACCAACCATCATGAGTTCTTATTCCTCTCAGTCAAGGGCCAGGTACTATCGACTACCCTTTGAGAGCCCCCTTGTCCTTCAAGATATTTTGGGTTATACTCGCCCCGAAATTCACAAATTCTTGGGGCAAGCTACGGTACGCAATGACAATGACCAAATAAGCAAACAAGAGAAGGCCGATCTCGAAAAGGTTTGGCACAGCATCATCGACCCATTCTTGTAGGTCACCTATTTTAATATTAGGAGCAGCACTTGTTAACTACTGACGATCCAGCTGCAATAAGTTTTCCGACATAAGCCCGGTAAATATCAAAGTCCATGGCGTCGTTATCAAGGTTTTTTATATAAATTGCGCCATTTCCGCGGTTCTGTCAATCACAATGACAAACCCTATAGCAAAATTTACATCAACGAGAGAAGCGCATGACTGGGCTCTTTTTGTGGCGGTGGTACTGGGCGCCCTCTGTAAGTTGGATGGCAGTCCGAAGTCCAGAAAGAAGGTGCGCATGGTATGTGTCATGTACTGCCGAGATATTAGATGCGGGTCCACAATTTTCATTTGTGGAACTTCGAAATGCTACCTTGCCAAAGCTTTCAAGTCGAAAAACGAAATGAGCAACCTCCGCTGGCGGCAGGAAAGGTTGGAGAGCTTAGAAGACGCAATACATGGCCCGTCCAGAGGGATCCTTGCACCCCAGATAGTGCTGTCACGGAATACTAGTCCCGATCAAAATCGGGACGGAAACTGCGCCGAAACGGTACCCATGATGGTGGTGGCGGCAAGGCGCTCCAGTGAGGTGTTCTCTATTGCTATACGCCTAGTGAACATTCCTGATAGGGACTGTAACCCTTCAATATTGGTTCATTGCATGGAGGGTAGCAAGAGAAGTGGAAGCAACTTTACTCTCTTCCAGGCAAAGGCGTGCGAAAACTGTTTACGTTTTTTTGATTTACTTAGGGAGAAAAAGGGTATTAGAGTGGTGCATGATCGTCTTTGCAGAACTGAATATCCCCTGGCGCTTATGAATACAGACCGTCAAGTAAGAACTTCATGGGATGATAGATATGCATTAGATGATTTAATCTCCTATGCATGAGAAGAGGAGAGATGCGTAGAATTATATGGGTTACAACTAAGCCTTCAAATGATTCCAGCCCGTTCTCAACATATTACTATATAGACCTTTCCTACGCCTGCTAGATTTCCCTTTTTTCTTTCTTTTTTCTTTTAAGTGCATGAAAGGGGGCAGAGGCAAACATGCGCATGTAACTCAGTGTCCTAGTTGAGGTTATGAGATATCACTCACATAAACTTTTTATTTGAATATAAGTTATAGGTTTTCTTAGTATGTTAGACTAGTAATCTGAAAATCCGTTCGAGTCATCGATCTAACAATTACAAAGGATATCTTTTTCTAGTAACCGAATATCCAAGATCATCTATTGTAAAGCTTGAAAAACGCTTCAAGTCAAGTTAAACAATTATTTAAATCTTGAAACCATGAAACCTAAACGTACTTTAACTGTACCATAGTCTAGTGTATGATGTGCGAACAACATCACCTACAGATCTATATTGTCACTAACCGTATATACAGGAAAGCATATTAGCATAGATTTGATATTGCCCAACATGTCGTCTACTACACTTCTTGCAGAGCTTACCAAACTGAGCAGAGCCGAAATGCTACTCCGGGGCATGCGTGTTAAGTTGCACACAGTGCTTTCAAGACGTATAACCTTATATGAGGTGGCAATTCGCAGGGCCATTCTTGATCCAGAACCATTTCCCGACCTACATGAGCGGATTGGATTCGTGGGCTGGGAATTTACGGAAGCTATTAAAATGTTGGGGGAAATGATTGATGAAGGTCGGGCAAGGATACTCATCGTTGAGAAGACCTTGTGGAATGATTTGAGTATGGTCGAGGCGGTTAATCAACTTGCAATCATGTGGAACACTAGCTGGAGAGGATAAGTAGCAGTAGAGTAGATGAAACCGCCCTTCGCCTTGTTGGGGCCGTGAAAGATGAACTGAGGAGTAAAGACCTCGTAAGAAAATGGATATTCACTTTCCCGTAGTAGACATAGTGTAGGCGACGAACAACCATACAGCTAATTTTGCAAGACCTCCATCTTTTAGAATGATTTAGTCCAGGCCTAGTGATATATATGAAAATTAATAAGTTAAACAAAAAGAAAAGATATATGGTGCCCCCGATCTTAAAGGTAACGAGATTTCAATCGCTTAAAACTTCACCAACCTAATAGATATCAGAACAAAAGCTAGGGAAAATGATGAACAAAATGACCTGACAGATTTTTGATATCTATCATGGTTATAAAGTTATAAGAGATTGAAATTGGCTGTTTTTGTATGTAAAAGGCGCCAAGAGTAAACAAAGTGGAACAGCATTATACCCATTTATACCCCAAAAAGTAAACCTATGTACCTGAGCCGTGGTAGTGAGGTACCAAGATGATTAGAAACGGACCTTTTGATTAACCTTTAGAGTCACATTGCAGCCATAAATATTCCACTTCCATATGCGCCATGTCACCCTTAAGGCTAGGGGCACAATGAATTAAACAAAAAAAAAAAAAAAGGCTAGGGGCACCATATATGAGATATGATCGAGTGATATTTCATGAGCCTTGGCAACCATATTTTCTCGTCGTCTAATTAGCGAACAGTACTTTTCCCGGCAAAGCCTTACAAAACATAAAATCAGTTGACAAATAGTGATGGGGGAATAGTGTCAGCACCAGGAATCTCTGGTTTAGTCCGAATATATCCACTCTCTCACTCTCAATCATCAGGCCAAATTGAAAAATCAGCGGCACCCAAACCATTTCCGGTAATCGTGATGAAATCAACTCATACAGTGTGGGAGTTATATTCTTCTGCATGCGCCGCATTCACGATAGGTCGTGATAGAAGTCCGTTCCCCACGCCTCTTATATCACAGGGTTTGAGTGCCGATCCTGATCCGCCCTGACGGCTTAAGGGATACTGAGGGGGTTCCAAACCGTCCCGAGAGCAATTAGAGACATTGGTGTCGAGCTGTTTGAGACAACATTCTCAAACAAGACTTCAAGACCTCTCGTCGCTTGGAGAACATTAAGGTCGGGAATAAGGATGTCTAACCTAGCATGGTGAAAAATCGTTGGATAGAGAGTTGGACGGAATTTATCGCGTAAACGATGCCTGGAAGTGCTAGTATTTGCCTGTGGTCGTTTTGTATTGTGGTCTTACTACTACTGTTCGCAGTAATATGTTTGGGTGGTTCCAAAAGCCAGTCAAGGTGGGAATGTGTCCACTCCGCGTGCGCCACACGTTGCAGGCTGTTTCTGGCAGTTCTCTAGAGTCTATTCCAATTCGCTCATGACATGTATCGAAACCGATGGTGGGCGCGACTCCAGAGCGTACACCTTTAAGCTACATGTACGTTTCTTCTTTCAACCTTATCCGCTACCTGTCCCGATTACGTCTTCTTTGCTACTACCATGTGGCTTCACCAGCGACACGCGCCGCACTATGGAAGACAATTGGCCAGTACTAAACTGATGTTGATCAGCCGCCACTCCCTAAATACAATTTCCTTCTTTTCTTTCAGGTTACTAGCTATGGTACCAACAACCTTAGTTATTAATACACTAAGCCCAAACTCAGCGAACCGCTAGAATTAGGCCACAGTGATCTGTGACCTCCTTTTCGACGGGTATTTTCTCCGGTTATCGTTTAGTTCCTGTGTGGAGTATATGGGCACGAACGAAGGGATAAAAATAGATCGGAACCTTCGATTCGAAACCTAACCCGGTCTTGGCCTGAGGCGTGGCCTCAGGTCAATTGGCGTTGGGTCATGGAATATCACCCGTCAGAAACATTCTTCCGTATGCGACTAGGAAGGGTAAACGGCAACACAGGCTTAACTGCTAGTAACAACCTTCTCTCACTAAAATTAAGGAACTAGAAGACATCATTGACTCAAAATATCTGCACAATACCTTGCTTATCCAGAAAACTTGAAGACATTTTCAGTTGAATCTTTCAAATGATGCGTCAATTACGCACAAGTTTCAACCAAGCCTAATACAATCTTAGTCCCAAGCCAGGGAACTTAATTTTCAACTTCTAGAGTGTCATGAAAGCTCGAAGTCCATAGCTCCTCGGAATTATATATACATAAGGCACAGACGGTAATCTCTCCTGATAATACATCAACATTACATCGAACAACATTACTTCCAGTAACAAACCAAATATTCATCTGAACAAAACCGTCATCCATACCAAGCTAAACGTTCATCGAAACAACACTACTCACTCATACTCAACATGGCCAGTACTCAACGATCTGCAACTACCTGTGCCGCTCTCGCCGAATTAACCAGACTCACTTACCACTACGTCCTACTTGAGACCATATGTACCCACCTCCTTAACGTTGAAAGAAACTACAGAGAGGGCTGTGATAACTCCATGTCCGAACTCATGTCCGCGGAGGCCCAAGAGCGTGTTCTATTCATGCGTCAACAATGTGAAGAAGCGCTGTCGATGTTTGACACCATGAGTCTGGAACTCGAGAGTAAGATTGCTATTCATGAAGGAGTCTTGAAGGGCGTGCGGAGCACACGGGCAGAGAGGTAAGGAGGTTGAAAAGGGTCAGAGTATCTTCATTTGAGATTTATTTAAATTATAGGAATGCCATTTTGGAGGAGCAGCTATCAAGGTTGGAAGGAATCGCTTCCAGAATGGAAGAAAGAGCTTCTGAGATGGAAGAAATGTTGCGTACTTACAGATTACAGTAAGACTTCTTTAGGCCCATATATTCGTGAGTGGTTACTTGGAATCTTGACGAGTTGGTACAAGTATTTAGAAGATCTGATTAGATCTTTGAATCGATGAATTAGTGGGAATGTTAAATGATTAGATTCTTGACCATTGTTTTACCCGTGACCTAATCCAAACTACATATACTCTATGATATCACGCTCCGCGATGGGCTAACCGGGCAGGATTATGGGTCGGCCTATGTTATTTTTCACCCCGCACCACCGGCCAAGCTATAAGTATAAATCCCCGGCTATATCCTGGGTGGTTCCAAAATAACCTGAGGTTAAATAAGCATGACTAGAAGTCCATAAGGGGGTGATATACCGGCTGGTTTCATGTAGTATTTTCCACCAGTGTTGTTTGGTTGCCGGGTGTAAAATCATATATGGGCGCCTTCATGAAAACTTGGGAGTCATAGTTCGCCAAGATCAACCCAAACGCATATATAAGGCACGGATAGCAACATCTATCCAAGAACACCCGACAAACCACACATCACTATTCACAAGATAACCTTCTTAACAACAAAACTCACAACTCGCCCACAATTTCCAATAACCTGCAACCGATATCCATTATATCCGCTCTCAGCGCTCTCTCCAGACTAAATAAACTCACGCACCACCACATCCTAATGCAGTCCATGATCACGAAGTTCCTATCCAAGGAAGAAGAACGCACAACGAACCTTGAAGACGCGGTTCTTTACCCCGGGTTTGACGAGGCCCATGGGCACCCTGCGGTCATGCATCAACAACTTGAGGACGCAGGGACAATGTTGTTAACAATGAGTCTCGAGATCGGAAGAAAGATTGCTGCTGAGGAGAGCGTCTTATCTGGGTTCCCGAGTATGGCAGAGGAGATACAGAGGTTGAAAAGGGCCAGGAGGGATCAGTTGATCTAATTAGTATATATCTCTATAACCAAGTACGAGTACGCAATGTGTATTTTAAAGGTTTTGATCGACTGTGCTTTGGGTATTCTCTTTCCTCGGACTATTGATTACTATAGGATCACACAGCTGAAAAGAGACGTTATGTCGGAGGTTATGAATTTTTATATTAGGTGATTGTGGTGTGTTTTGTGATTTCGATGCATATGGGTTGGGTTTTGATTGTGATATAGCAACGGTGCAGATTATATCCCTTTAGTAGGGCAGCGAAATTCAATAGCAGTACACATCTCTGGCGATACTCCTCATCATTTCTATTGAATTCGTTATTCTCACCGGCGAAGGCCAGAACCAACGCTTTGCGTGAGGATAGTTGGTCAGATTGAGGTAGAACAGAGCACTCAGCAACCCAGAATAGGCCCGATACCTTCAGGTGTCATGGTAGACATCCTAGGATAATTCAAGCTTTGGCAAATATTTTGATTAAGAAAATAACCCTACGGTACAATTTGGAAAAGTTAATTCACCTGTCCTGGGCGTTGAGGTGCAAGAATTTGGCTGTCACGAAATTGTGCCTTATTTATCCCTCATGGGAGATGGCTATAAAGGAATAGTGTGCTAGGAGGGATGAATTATCCTTACCCTCAGTAATAGATAATCCTTACTGTTTCGCAGAATAAAAAAATAAAAGTCAGTATGGGTTGAACCTGAGCGCATATATGAGGTTCCATACACTTTATCCACTATACTACAAGTTTGATATATCTACTACTAGAAGTGAGCAATTTTGTAAGCCCGGGGAGCAAGTTTACCTCCAAGCTTTACCTTCCTCCTGGGATAGTTCATCAGAAAACCCCCAAAGTGGTCGATATTAACCTGTTCAACCCCCGGTTTACCTCTGCCGGGAGATGACTTACCTGTCTACATCCAAAGAATTGTACCGTAGGGATAAGTTGGTATTTAGAGGGTCGATTGGAAGTAGCAGCAATGAGTTATATAGAACCCGAACTTATGATAGCCTTTAACTACTATTGCCTCCGTGACAGTCTATCCATAGTAGGTCTTTATACACACTCTTTATCGGGTGCAAATCGTTGGTACTCGTCATCAGTACGCCCGAATCCAAGTATGCATCATGAAGTATCACTCGCTGACGGGCTTTTCATCACTCGGCACATTCTACTACCAACCGGCGCAGTTTGTAGCGTGAGCACGAAGAGGTTTCGCTTATCCTGTAAACATATGACACAGATTCCCAGCCAATCGAATTCTTGTCTTTAATTTTCATGTTTATACAAGGTCTATAGGTGAAATAGATAACAATGAAATATAGGTATGAGAAGAAGACACATATTTTTCCTGAACTGAACAGGAAAGAGACTAACTCCAACACACCTGGTCAATATAGCCCAGCCAGACACCCTCGCCCTTGTGTTTTCATTCATATTGAGCGTTTTAATGCCTAAATTTCTACCCTCCTATCGCCATGTGGCTACATAAACGTTCATATCTTCATATCATGACGCGATTGCCCAACCATTCTAGCAGCACTAGGACCACGCCACATTGTCATCAATAACTACCTCTCAACATATATATGCAATCCCGGATCCCGCGATCCCGTGGTCGTGCTCGCCAAGTGGAGCCCTAGCGCCACGGCCGAGTGATAATCCATGCCGCCCATCAGCCTCATCTTCCAACTTCCATAGGGTTACTGGTGGCCCTTGTGGGAGATCGAGACCAAGGCGCCGCGGCCGAATGTCGCGCCGAATGTTCGGCGCACCTGCAAGAGAAGCCTGCATGTTTGGTACGACTACGGGTGGTGCGTGGTGCGGCCGGCTCTGGCCCTCTATTCTGGTTTTGATGTCGATCCCATGTGGGGGGTGAGTGTAGGGCCGGTGTTCCAGCTTGGTGAGGATGGTTTCTAGCTGCAAAGGGTGTTGTTGTGGTCTCTTTAGCATGAGGGCAAGGGGTTATATGATTATGTGTAAGCATTGTGATTATGGCGCGCTTAATCCTACCACTTTTCGCCCGCGGTAACCGCGGCAGAGATGGTTGCGCAGCGGGTGCCTTACCAGAGACCATGCCCCACACCCGCCCCCGGCCTCTCCTGCTTCCTGCTTTTGTTGTCAGCGTCCTTCTACCTGTTCGTCTTGTGCTCCGCGCCTTCATTACGAGTACCATACGTCTTCTTCTTGCTCTGGCTATGCGCCACATGACGCTCGGTGTTTTTGTTGTTCCCCTCCTCGTATACGTCAGTCCTGTACTCGAGCGCATTGTGACTTTCACCGTTCTTCGAGGTGTATATCACGACTTCCGCATTAGGTATGAGTAACGAGATTGAAATCGGTCCTGACGGCTTAAGGGATAATCGGATTTGATACCCGAGTGATATTTGATGATGCTTGGCAACCGTGTTCTCAGTCTAGTCTCAGCAAATACATAATTTTGGGTCTAGTCCTTGATTTTCTATTTACAGGTAATATTATGAATAGATCGCAACGGAACTTTCCTAAGTTAAAACAAATACTAGGAACTAAGTCTAATATGTACTGTCGTTAATTCTTTCGCGCACCCGAGACCTCTCATTGGTCGAGAGCGGAAACCCTGACCCTGCATAGCAACCAGCCCACCACCCAGAATGCCCAGATTTAAAAGATATGTCAAATTAATTGGTAAAGGTCTTTCTCTCCTTTAACTGCATAAACTGAATTATAAACCTTTAAAATATACTGGGTGGTGTTGGGTATGGGGAGGTAAATCATTAAATTGTATTAATCATTAAATTGTATTAACTGGGTGGTATTAAGAGATCGATCGATACCTTAAAGGAGGTATCTGTAGGAGGAGGTCAACGGGGTTATCGATGGTATATGGGGGAATCATAAACTGGCAACGGGTTAAGTCGTCCCTTCACTGGCGGGGAGAACCCTGAGTGGGGGGGCGCGAAAGGCACGAAAGGCAGAGTTAAGTACAGCCACTCATCAAAAGTGTTCGTGATATGGTTTAAGGTTAGTGCGCAGTGTGGCGCACCCGTAATACTGATGTTATCAAATTAAAGTTGAGATTCAAAACAACGAAAAATATATAATATAGTTTGTGACTACGTATAAAAAGAAGATAGGTCATTGATCTTATTCTTCATTAATTTGGGTGCCATTGGTTACTGGGAAAGTCTTCACTTGGGGGGTTCTTGATGGTCCGCCGTGGTTACATATGGAGAAATATCTCACTCCGAAATCGGAATCACGAACACTTTTGCAGCCTGAGAGTGGCTGTACCGAGGGTTAAGGGTAAGTACTGAGAATCCCTTTTTGGGTAATTTTTAAAAGTGAGGGCTCTGATTGGGCTGATATACATATTTTTGACAATTGGCAGCCAAGCAGGTATTTGGTTAGCATGTCCTGCAGCTTTTGCAATGCAACCTCCTCAACCTCTTTTCTACTCCTGTTCTTTTCGAACTTCACCAAAACTTCTTTGATAACTTCAAATCGATACTTGGATGGAGCTGTGGGAAAGGGCTATTCACTGGTTATTTTTTTGTATTTTTAGGAAAATATTTATATTTTTAAGTGAACATAGATAAAACGTCTCGGTATTTTTTTCCTCCATACAAATTTCAGGGCCAAGACCAAAATTCATTGGCTACTTTTTGGTTGCTATGGGCGATTTCCATACAAAATTCAAGGCGTCTCGGTATTTAACGTGCACCCCCGGTACATGTAGTAAAAGGAACTCGCGCTCGCGAGTTCAGCCAACTGCTAGTATGTATGTACGTAACGAAAAAGAAGATGTTCCATTTTTCCAAACCAAGCCGGCCCCAGCCAATACATAAGTACTTGACCGTAAAATCTCAAAAATAACACATTGAACTGGCTCGGGAATACCAGGCTTCAGATTGGTCAAATACGTGTTGAGCCTCAATCTCACAAACCCAAAGTTTTAGTCATCTCGACCAATGGGTAAGTAGTATTCACAAGGACGCGTTAGTTAATTCTTCTTTGCTCCCCGGCTTGGGGCTCATAACGCCGCGGCACAGAATTTTCCACGGCCTGGCTGAATATGGGGCCAAAGGAAAGGCTAAATCTGGCTCATTTTGATACGTTGTTTGTTGCTGTTGGTATGTTCGTTCATGCACATGGAGTGTGCAGTAGCCAATCATTTGCTTAGAGTGTAACGGAAAGCTTGGGTGGCCCGAATATCGCGAAACAAAGGCTTCCGGTCTACGTAGGCATTTATTTGATATCGATACTTTATTGTTCTACCATAAAAACATTCAACAGCTTTGAGAAGGAAGAGAAGAGACAACGAGAGTAGAAGCTTAAGGAAAGGTACAGTGCGAGTCATCAACCTATATCTCCCAACTCGCAGGGAAGCACTATTCTAGCAGAGACGCTAATTCCAACATTTGTACACACTCTTCATCGGTGCTAAGCCTTGGAGTTCTTGTTGGTGCTCGTCATCAGGCCCGAATCCCGGTATTTCATCATGAACTATCACTCGATCACGACCATTTTCCATGATTCGGCACAACCATTATGTGTAAAGGCTGTTAGTCTTACGCTAGTCGTTTAGCTAGACACTATCCGGCATAACCTTTAGCACGACCGCTGAGAACTCGCGCTCACCTTGCTAAATGCACAGATCGACCCTGATAGAATGAATATTTGTCTTTAGTTTTCGAGCTTATATACGTACGTACGTGAGTCAAAAGAGACAATAATAATGACAGGTACAATATGTATGTATCAGAAGAGAAGACAATTCCCGTTCCCGAATTGCACAGGGAAAATCCCGATTTAAAACCATATCTATCCCGATCCGTATTACCGTTTTTCCTTTCTTTCATATTTTTTACGCCTCATAGCCCCACATAGCCACGCCCGCGTGTCTTCATCTAATCATCTCTTCATAAATACAACTATAGCTACACCGCCCCCCCCCCCTCCTAAAGCTATCACATAAAATTCATACCCAAACTACATTTCCCAATCCCCCGACCATGCGGTCACGGGGTACAACAAGATGTACCACAACTACTGCTCAGCATAAACAACCTTTTGTTCCCTCCCAACAGACGGAACTCTATCTGTCATTGTCGAGTGATAATCCATGTCGCCCTATCCCCTCATCTTCCAATTTCCGCTGCACCGGCGGCGGTCGTTGTGGGAGGGGTGGAATGACAAACTGAATGTTCGGAGCGCCTGCGAGGATGGCCTGTAAATTCGGGGCGGTGGGTATATGGTTTGTATTTTGCCTATTGCTGCCTAGTCCGCTCTCGAGATCAACTCTGTGTGGGCGTAGACAGTTTGCTTCTCGATAGTCATTGATAGGGCTGTTCGGTTGAGGGGGTGCTGTTGCAGTATATGTCGTGGTGCCGTTGAGGTTTGTGTTATTTGATACTGCTTGTTCGTGCTATAAGACGTTAGTTCTGGGGAAAGTGTATGTATAAATACATGGATTCCAAAACGTACTAGTTTCCGTCTGTAGTAGCATCGGCAGAGGTGGTTTATGGCGATAAGGTTGATAGCAATCGTTATGCCACCAATGATAAGCGCGATGATATCGCTCCTGCTAAGAAGGTCCTGATGATTACCCATTACGGGAGTCGAGAGGCGTTGGATGTGCTATTCAAGGGGCCGTGTCGGTGGTGAACTCGATATCGTTGATCTTGGAAGGCTTCGTTGATATTGATATCAGCATATTCGTGATTAATAGAAATTTAAATACCTGTATACAATCTGTGGGGCATCATGAGATTTATGTTGTTGACTCGTCCGGAAATAACATTGCTTCAGTCCAGGCGCGCCTGGTGTGTGACGTACGCACTCTGGCTATGACAGCTCACCAGCTACTCCGATGCGGATTTAAGGGAAGGCTAAAATATGTTTCTGATGTGGCCGTGCATGTGGCGGCAAATAGGTGGTGTACGTGTGGCTGTGGCTACACAAATACATACATTTTTAGGCAGAGTAGGCGATCATTTCCCAATGTAGAGAATGCGTCAGCCACCTCACGGTGCCCCCTCATAAAGAAAGTGCAACTTCTCGGGCTTCAAACACTCCGATTGAAGAACGGTGTGATCGGCTTGTTAACCAACGGTTTTACACATTGCCCACAATCTGTCAGAAAGGAACATGGTACGTAAGTAGGGAAGCATAGCCACCGTTTAACGTTGATTCTGCCCTACAGCGTGGGGAGGATGCGATGAGATCTTCGCAGTCCGAGGTATTGGAATCCGGATGAATACTTGTACTACCTACTCCCGCTGTCTACTCTACTTCATCAAGCAGGGCGATCCTTGGAGTTTGTTTCGGAAGCGAAAGGTCCGTGCGAAGAAGGTTCTGGGGTTAGTAATATATATGTCAACAGGGTGATGAGTCCGATCGACAGCTGAGCCCACCTACATTCACTCCAATAGTCGGATGCATTAATAGTCCTGTCAAAGGGCTTACGAATTCGCATTTTTTTTTATTACAGAAAGGTGTTTCTTCTCTTGGGATATACAGCCACTCTGCAAAAGTGTTTATGATTCCGATTTCGGAGTGAGACATTTCTCTATATGTAACCATGGCAGACCATTAAACAATCCTAAGAGACAACTTCCCAGTGACCAATAGCGCCCGGAATCAATGGAGAATAAGATCAATTTCCTACCTTCTTTTACATATAGCCACGAATTATAATATATATTGTTCGCTGTTTTGAATTTCAATATTGATATAGTTGGCTTTTGCTATAAAGGTACTGGTTGCAAAGGTAATCGTCTTGTAAGGGTAGAAATTTGAGTTTGATATATTTTCTGTGTAAGAAGAAGGGTAAATCCCCAAATACTTGCTAGAAGAGTACCTTAACGGTTTTTGGTGATTACTTTTATAAATAGAGTAGGGTTAGGGTTGGGAGAGGGCGAAATTACCCAGCTCAGAAATAAAACACACAGAATCTATTTTCATGCCTTTCTTAATTACCCCGCCGATGCTGTTGAGAGAGACGCTTTTGTACCGAATCAGGTCAAAAAGAAAAGACAGGACTGAATCGCTCCTAATTCGTAGTTAATCAATAGCTCATCTGGTTGTTGAGATATTCCCAAAAGAAACCTGCTTCGTGACCTCTGGTCAGGTAACCCTAACCCTACATCCCATAAGAGTACCTCCTCTAGAAGGGTAACGCCATGCCCCATTTCTCGCACTTTTCCCACCCTTATAGGGAGAGTCGACTGTAGCATAAACATTGCGGGTGCGCCACACTGCGCACACTAAATCACGAACGCTTTTGCTGAGCGGCTGTATGTATGCAACGTAACTCCGGTCAGGGTGTATCTTAATGTTCGGCCGATCGGGTCTATGTCTGCCCGTGCCAATGATATGAACTCCAGCTTTCTAGGTCCGGAGGTTGGGAGGTCGACGCACGTACACGCGACTGGTTGTCAGCCGAGACATGTGTGGAATCTTTAAGGCACATGTAGTTTAGAGTGTTTGTTTGGAATAAACGGGACTGTTTGGGTATCGGGCAACGTATCGCTTCGCAAGGGTGTGTTGGTTGCACCTTGAGATTGCCTGTACGCGCATACACAGTACTTCGCCTCTCACGAGAAAAGAGCGGTAATACAAGAAAGAATAGTCCTAGTTCCAAGGAAGAATGAAAACACAGAAAATAGCGGGCTTAGATACGTCTCTTTTGGGTGCCTGTGACATCAACTCATTAAGGGCAGTAATTAACCCGAACATTACGAAGACACCATAGCCTCATCTTATATACTATAGGCCAGCCCGGTGTTACCACTGCAAAGGTTAAACCAAGTGTGTTTTAACTAACCTTGTACTGTTTGAAAGGAAGAAGTTGGTCATTGGCATACAGGTGTGGCTGTGAAGAAATTTGGTTGTGAATAAATTCGGTTATGATTGGGCCTAGGTCTGGGCTTAGTAACATTAAGTGGATTTGCCCTTCGCTTATAGATGTCCCTGTTGAAAGATGACTACCCTTTCTCATTGAGAGTGTGCCGAATTAAGTTCGTTTGTTAGACTCCCCATTAGTTCTTTTGAGCTTTACGTAACCGAAGACTTTGTGCTGTCCTTGGGACATCTTGGAGCACTCTCACTAGAGGTTACGGGTTTGAATCCCGCGTGCCCCAACCCGAACATACTCGTCGGGGGAGTTTTTCGAGGTTTTCGGAGTCGCTCACTCCCAAGCTTCACAGTTTCATTCGAGCCCGACAAGATTTATTCTTATTATGCAATAAATCCTGAGTCGAATTGAGCAGAAGAAAAAAGAAAAAAAAAGCGGAATCATGAACTATCACTCGATCAGTAGTTACTAACCCTTCATAATTTCGGGATCTGGCCAAATTAAACCTTTCCGAGTCTTGAATTAAAAACATCAAGACTTATGTAGTCATGTGGCTTTAAAATATTACTACCAGAAGATATCTCCGTTCCGGCTTCGCAATCAGCAAGCCGAGTTTAGATGAGTCAGGTCTTGGGCATACTGAACACTCCATCTGTGACAAAAACTGAGCTGGGCCCAGCAAGACCCTTTGATTCTATAGCTTGGTTTATACGTCAAAAAACGAATCACGGATGAATCTTTCCAAATATGATCAGGTTAGCGATCGAGTGATATTATATGATGCTTGGCATTGATAGCCCTGCAGTAGTACCGGAAAAATCTGTGGTTGGCTGCATTGCTGGTTGTTCCGTTGATCAGCACTAACCTCAATCCGACATTCATTAATTAACCCCACAAATCCAACGAGTAACCTTTAGTCATCCCTGCACAGCGTGAGCCTTGTTGTGCCGCGAGACTTCACATACTCTACTAATATTCCCTGGCTGATCAGAACTATTTACGTGGTGCAGGGCGTCAAGTCTCGGTTGTCAGGGAAGTATGCTAGGTGGCAGCTGTCTTTGAACGGGCTTGTAGGTAGTTCTAGGATTTGAAACCAGAGTATCTCAAAATCCGAGAAAGTTAGTTGAGGCGTCGCAGTGGTATAGGCCAACCAGAAGCAGTCTTTGTACGTCAAAATGGAAGATTCTGCGGCATGCATCTAACGTATCCCTTTGTCTGTCGACAAAGTGCAAGCCTGGTGCGACTTCATTTACATATGGTGCGCCCACGCTTAAAGGTAGTAGCGGATCGCGACGAAATGTCAATCGCCTAAGGCTTTGCGACCAAAAATCGTAAAAACAAGGGTAATGATAGAACTCTAGTACTAGTGATGAAGTTTAGTTCTATCATTGCAGAACTTTAATATCTGTCTGGGTTGTAAAGCCTTTGGAAGTTGAAATTGTGTATTTTTGTATGTAAAATGCGCCAAGACTGAACAAAGTGGAACAGTATTATACCCATTTATACCCCAGAAAAGCAAACCTGACTGATCCGTGGCAGTAATGCAACAGAATTGCTAGAAATTAACCCTCTTATTGGTCTATGAGGCCCTATTGCAGCCACAATTGTTCCACTTCCGTATGCCACCATATCACCTTTAAGAGTGAGGGCATCATATCTCGTTATCTCTCTTATCAAATAACAGATCCCCCTTATAAATTCAATTTCTCTATTATAGGGGGTAGCAATCGACAGACGAAGGGATACAATATCTCATTATATCACTAGCGCCTTATCTCCCTATTTTCATACCTTCAGAGTTTTAAGATAAACAAAAAAAAAAATCTAACCCATAGTAGCTTCATCTACTTATCCCCTATAATATTACCTCTCTATTCCTCATCTAACCATATTGCCATTCGATCTCCCAGCGGCAAAAGTGAAAGGGAAAACAGAAGGAAAAAGAGTGGGAAAGGGAAAAAGAGAGAGGTTCATCAGAAGAGAAAAGAAGAAAGAAAAAAAGAGCAACCCCAAACACCACAACACCCACGCCACATCGCGCGTGAGAAAGCCCGCTACCTCAGTAACACAAAACGCCAAAAAGAAGAGCACTGCCGACAGAGTCGGCAACCAAATACCACAGTCATACCTTACTATTCCAGATCGCCATTATTTAGACAATTCATACGGGGTAGCGGATATTCACAACAAATCCGGAATAGAAAATTAAGAAAATTAAACTATTAGTATTTTGCACGTGACATAATCCTATCCCACCGCCACAATACCCCAGAAACTGCTGAACATGAATAACCTGGCTGTCCATGGAGGTGGATCCAGACGGCACCAGTTGATGAAGTAATCAATCAATAGACGATACTCTAACTAAGTCATCGTCGAGTGATAATCCATGTCGTCCAATCCCCTCATCTTCCAATTTCCGCTGCACTGGCGGTGGTCTTTGTGGGAGGTTCGGAACGGTCTGCTGAGAATCTACAGGGACATACTGCGTCCTTGGGAAAGCTGATATATCGTGTGGTGGGTTTGCTCCGTTGCCAAGATCAACTCTCTCTGGGCAAGATTCTGGTTGATGAAAGATAGTAGAGGGTACTGCCGTATTAATAGTGTTATTTTCGGTTTTTTCTACCGCAGGCCTTCGTGGGAGGAGTGAAATATCATGTTGAATATTCGAAGAACCTCAAAGGGCATGCTGTGCGTTTGGAACCGCCGGCATATCAAGCGGCGGGTTTCCCGATCCATTATCAAGACCAACAATTTGTGAGCGTGATTTTCGCTGATCATCAATAGTGCTCCCAGAGGGTACTGCTGTAGTAGTGTCGTCTACGTTGTTTGTTACCACTTGTTGGCGCTTTAAATTCGTCAGTATGTTACATGTGGAGAAGAAGGTATATAAGTAGATAGGCTTCGTACCTTGGCTAGTCTTCGTTTCTTGTAACACCGCCAGATTGGTTTTATAGCTATGAGGTGCAAAAGAATAGTTATACCACCAACAATAGGCGCGATAATATCGCTCTTACTAAGACTATTTACGTTATCGGCCATGGTGGGTGAGGAATCTTTGTATGCCCTGTGCTAGGCGCTGGTATCGGACGTTTATCCTGGAAGAATCCCGTTGATATGGGTGTTATCCCGGAAGAACCTTGTGGTGGTTAGAAGATGTTGGAGATATTGCCGAAGTTTTTATTTAGGTTTGGTGATAATGGTGTTTATAGTACTTGATTGATAATAGTTTGCTATCCTGGCAGTACAGTACTTCGTTGATATCAATAGGTGGGGGTGAGGTAATAAATTGTTATGGACACAAGAAAAAAAAGAAAACTGTAACTCTCAGAACTCGTGTGGCAGTGGGTTGGAGCTGTCAGCTTGGCCCTATGAAATGGTGGCCGGTGGGATGATAGAAGTTTATACGAACAGATGTATTCAGAGCCGCCTACAGACTTAGAGTGCGGTCATAAACCGACGCCCTTACACAGGTGGCATAGGCACTATGCGTAGGAGAGCTTTGTAGATTGGGCGCGTGCGTGTGGTGTGGTTTGGGGGGGGGGGGGGGAGTGGGAGGCTACAAAAGCATAGCCTTAGACCTTGACTAGACCGGTGGCGGTCAATCCCATTATCTAAGGCTTGCTTCTATTCCACGTCATATGGTTGAATATCACTCGTGTTTGGGGAAATGGCCAGTGCTAAGCGATAATTCTGTAGCGTTTAAACTGATGATATTGTAAACCGGATTCCCTTGACTTGGTGGTTGATGATACCCTCAAGTCTTCGCAGAATCAAGTCCTATTTATACATGTTGGAACCTCTGCCAAGGCCCGCTTTCTAATACTAACTGACACAACGATAATAGAATAAACTAACGCTCCCGAAAATAACCCAGATAGAAAAGCGCCCCCGCATAGTTCCGTCCTCCATTCTAATTCCGACACGTAACCATGAACCTTGCAATTGCCAGTCATCGGGCTGTACCATACTATTATCCTAGACCTACTTCCCTAAGTAGAACAGCCTACCGCCATAAGCCCCACTTCCTATTCTATTCCTGGTGAGACACCCAATAGTAAGCGTGCCGTCATAATAGTATGATACTAGTGTGGTAACACCGCGTGCCCCCACACTACCCGATACCTTTCTATGCTTGTCCTTTCGTTACCCGACCGTCCTCGCATCACAAACCGTCACTCGTATTCCTCATCGCCCTAAGCTTCTAGGACAGCGCTCCGTAGTTCCTGTAACAACTCGTCCTTGGACGATGGAACGAAAACGTTATTAATCTGGCCAGCCGGTTAGTGATTTTTCAGGTCCTATCTGACTGTTGACTAGAAGGACATATCAACACCGTCCTGCTTTTCGTAGACTTAAGACGGTCCAACGTGGATAGGGGCGGCATCCGATAAACTGAGATCCACCGCGCACTGTTAAGCCGTGCGTGCGTTTTTCTTGCCCGATATTATTCACCCCGCCACGCAAAGTCATAGGTGCTGAAAACCAACGAAGGCTGGTCGGAGACAAGATGCAGTGCAATGATGCACTGATCATCCAATGCATGCAACCGGAGGTTAACTGTATGAAGAAATCGCAAGGTTGAGTGAGTAGTATCCTTAGAGTTTAGAGAGGGAGTCCTTGCTCACACCAGTTGTTTTGGGTTTTGCGCCTGGTGATACATCTGTTTGGGGAAATGGCCAGTGCTAAGCGATAATTCTGTAGCGTTTGAACTGATGATATTGTAAACCGGATTCCCTTGACTTGATGGTTGATGATACCCTCAAGTCTTCGCAGAATCAAGCCCTATTTATACATGTTGGAACCTATGCCAAGGCCCGCTTTCTAATACTAACTGACACAACGATAATAGAATAAGATAATGCTCCGAAGATAACCCAGATAGAAAAGCGCCCCCGCATAGTTCCGTCCTCCATTCTAATTCCGACACGTAACCCTGAACCTTGCAATTGCCAGTCATCGGGCTGTACCATACTATTATCCTAGACCTACTTCCCTAAGTAGAACCGCCTACAGCCGTAAGCCCCGCTTCCTATTCTATTCCGGGTGAGACACCCAATAGTAAGCGTGCCGTCATAACAGTATAGTACTAGCGTGGTAACACCGCATGCCCCCACACTACCCGATACCTTTCTATGCTGGTCCTTTGGTTACCCGACCGTCCTCGCATCACAACCCGTCACTCGTATTCCTCCTTGTCCTAAGCCTCTAGAACAGTGTTCCATAGTTCCTGTAACACTACTCCCCCTTCCTAGACGTCGCCCTCGACCGTTAAAACCCTTCTATGATAAAAACCCTGTGGGAAAAGTCATAGAGTAGGGAAAGGTATCGAGCTTAGTCCCGCCTGTTCCGTTGTCGTTTATGAGCCCGGTCATTATCGATCGCTGGGCCTTGACTTCGCGTATGGGGTCGTATGTTCGAGGTTGGCTGGCAATTCTCGTCTGCCAATGCCTCCTGTGGCTCGGGTGTTGCCAGTCGCTTTCGTGTATTTTGTTTCCTGGTGGGATCCGGGTCCTCGCGATAAGGTCGCAGCAGCATCTCGTGAAAGACGTCGTGAACCTTCCATCCTACCGGAAGTTCGAGACGGTAAGCCCGATAGCCCACCACTGCTGAAACTGTAAAGGGCCCTGTGAACTTGTCTGACCACTTGGAGTATCCTCCTAGGTTCCGAGTGTCCAGCAAGACTTTCTGACCGATAGTGAACCGCTGTACTGCCGGTCCTGGCTTTGACGCCATCCTGTCGAAGGTCTTCTGTAGCGTGTCTCTCGCTAACTCATGAGCCGTGATGATCTCATCCAAGTAGTTGTTCCCGTTGGCGTCTAATCGTTCGATCTCGGCATCCGTAGGCCAATCCGTTCGAGGGTGGAAGCCATAATTGCAGTAGAACGGCGATTGCCCCGTCGACGTATGCTTCGCATTGTTGTAGGCGTATTCACAGATAGGTAACAGGTCCTTCCATTTCTTGCGTGTTCCTGCCGTATATGCCCGAATATAACCTTCCATGTGTTGGTTGGTCCGCTCTGTTTGGCCGTCGGTTTGGGGGTGGAATGAGGTGGAGAGTCTTCTACGAATCCCCAGTCTGTCCGTAATTGCCGCCCAGAATGCTGACACGAACTGCGTCCCTCTGTCTGAGACGATGCTTCTAGGAAGTCCGTGGAAACGCCAGATGTCTTTGACGAATGCGTTAGCGGTTTGTTCCGCGTTGATTCCCGTCATTGGAATGAAGTGAGCCATCTTCGTAAAACGGTCCACGACTACCAATACGTTGCGGAATCCTGATTTCTCCTTAGGCATTTCTACTACGAAATCCATCGAGATATCAGTCCAAGGTGTGGTGGCTAACTCTAGGGGTTGAGGGAGTGACAAGTGTCTCCGACGTTGCTTGGCTCTCTGGCATACATCGCAAGTCTTGACGAAGTTGGCTACATCCGTGGACATTCCTGGCCACCAGTAGTTCCTATCGATCAACTCAAGGGTTTTATCCCTTCCTAGATGCCCCGCTACGGGTCGATCATGATGTTCCTCAATGACCTGCTTGACCGCGTAGCCCGGTACTACCCATCGACCATCGTGGGTGGGGTCACTCGAATCGGGACTCCATTCAGCAGCAGGCTCTACCTTTACGATAGCAGCTTCCGGTGGTCCAAAGATCTCAAGGTTTGAGTCAGGGAGGTGTTCATCCGGAACCATCCTCCGAACCCAGCGTCTTTCCTGTTCATACCAACCCTGTAGTGGCTGAGGCAGCCCTACGCTCGGTATGTCGTACCACTGATCCAACTGATTCCATTCCTCTTCGGGGTTGCCAATCACCTCGGGCCCAGTTTCTACGCTGGTCCGCGATTTTCTGACAAACTGTTCTGCGCTGAGTAGCTGTTTTACGGGCTGCTCACGCATTACTCCCCCTTCCATTGCGAACTCCGGACGCCTTGTAAGTGCATCCGGCTTGCCGTTCTTTTCGCCTGGTCGGTAATGAATCTTGAAGCGAAAAGGTGCTATCTTCTCGGCCCATCTGGTTTGTCTTCTCGACAACTTCTTGGTCGTTGTGAAATACTGCAGGTTTTGGTGATCCGAATGTATCTGGATAGGGATGTCCGTCCCTTCCAGCCAATGTCTCCAAGTCAAGAGAGCAGAAACTATTGCGAGCATCTCCTTGTCGTAGATCTCATAGTTAACCTCTGCCTCGTTGAACTTGCGAGAGTGGTAAGCTACCGGATGTAGGATACCGTCCTCGAACATCTGAGAGAGCACTGCGGCCTCAGCCCAGTCACTCGCATCAGTTTCCACGATTGATTCGCGGTGTTCGTCATAGTGTCGGAGTATTGGAGCAGACGTAAATCTCCTCTTGAGCTCGTCGAACGCATCTTGCTGTTCCCTGCCCCATTTCCATACGGAACCTTTCTTCAGGAGATCGGTCATGGGTCTGCAAACCTCAGAGTATCGGTGGATGAACCGTCTTAGGAAATTGGCAAAACCGAGGAAGCATTGAAGTTCCTTGACCTTGGTTGGGGCTAACCAACCTTCGATCGCCTGGACTTTCTTTGGTGATACTCGGTTCCCTTTTCCTGATAGTATAAATCCCAGGAATTCTACCTCCTGTTGATACCACTCCGTTTTCTCGAGGTTTCCATATAGATGGTGTCGTCGCAGTCGCTCCAAAACCTCTCGTACAAGAGTCGTATGCTCTTCTCTAGTCTTTGAATACATTAAAATGTCATCCAAGTAGACTACTACGCCTTGATCTAGAAGATCCTTGAATATGGTATTGACCATGACCTGAAACGACGCAGGAGCGTTGGTCAAGCCAAAAGGCATTACCCTATATTCGAAAAGGCCGTATTTCGTTCGGAAAGCGGTTTTCCATTCTTCGCCCTTAGCAATCCTAATCAGATTATAGCCATTTTTCAGGTCTATCTTCGTGAAGTAGAGTGCTCCTTTCGTTGCGTCGGCCAGCTCGTTCATGAGTGGCAGTGGATAACGGTTCTTGATTGTGATTCCATTCAAGCCACGAAAGTCGACACATAACCGAAGCTTTCCATTAGCTT